CTCTTCCGAAATTTATTTTGGAAGAGCAGATGCACTCTTTCAGAAGCTCTGTATTCCTCATTTTATGAGGAATAAGGGTTCTTCCGAAAGAGGAGGTTTTTCTGACATTTGGCCCCAGGTAGACAGGCCAAATGTCAGAAAAGCCTCTTCCGAAAGAACAACTGGAAAAAGGCACTCATATTGCGGTTCGCAATTTCCATATCTTTTTCCAATAAAACCCTGTAGTGTAGACATAGCCTTTGGAGGTAGTTGAAGGCTGCTATCAAATCTCCCCTCTCTTCTATTCTGTAGACTAAATAAGTCTAAATCCCTCAGCCTCTCCTCATAGGTGTCATGTGCTCCAGCTCCCAATCATTTTTGTTGCCCTCTGCTGAACTTTCTCCAATATGCCCACATCCATCCTTTCTGTAATGGCCAAGAACTGGCTGCAGTACTCCAGATGTGGCCTCACCAGTGCCAAATAAAGGGGAGTAATCACTTCCCTCGATCTACTGGGAATGTTCCTACTAATGCACCCCAATATGTCATTAGCCTTCTTGGCTACAAGGGCACCCTGTTGACTCATATCTAGCCTCTCATCCACTGTACTCCCCAGGTCCTTTTCTGCTGAACTGCTGCTTAGTCTTTCAGTCACCAGCCTGTAGCAGTGCTTTGGATTTTCCCATCCCAAGTGCAGGACTGTGCACTTGTCCTTATTGAATCTCATCAGATTTCTTTTGGCCAAATCCTCCAATTTGTATAGGTCACTCTAGATCCTATCTGTACCCTCCAGCATATCTACCTTCCCCCTAGCTTTGGTTTGGATACATTTCATATAATCATATAATAATAGGATTGGAAGGAGCCCCAAGAGGTCATAAACTCCAGTCCCCTGAACTCATAGCAGAACTAAGCATCATTCTAGACCATCCCTGACAGGTATTTGTCTCCCGTGCTGTTAAAAATTTCCAATACTGGAGATTCAACAACCTCCCTAGGCAATTTATTTCAGTGTTTAACCACCCTGAAGGCTACGTCTACACTGGCCCCTTTTCCGGAAGGGGCATGTAAATTTCACCAGTCGTCATAGGGAAATCCGCGGGGGATTTAAATATCCCCCGCGGCATTTAAATAAAAATGTCCGCCGCTTTTTTCCGGCTTTTAAAAAAGCCGGAAAAGAGCGTCTACACTGGCCCCGATCCTCCGGAAAAAGCGCCCTTTTCCGGAGGCTCTTATTCCTACTCTTATTTAAATGCCGCAGGGGATATTCCTACTTTGAAGTAGGAATAAGACCCTCCGGAAAAGGGCACTTTTTCCGGAGGATCGGGGCCAGTGTAGACGCTCTTTTCCGGCTTTTTTAAAAGCCGGAAAAAAGCGGCGGGCATTTTTATTTAAATGCCGCGGGGGATATTTAAATCCCCCGCGGATTTCCCTACGACGACTGGTGAAATTTACATGCCCCTTCCGGAAAAGGGGCCAGTGTAGACGTAGCCTGATAGTTTGGAAGTTTTTCCTGATGTCCAACTCAAACCTCCTTTGCTGCAATTCAAACCCATTGCTTCTTGTCCTATCATCAGAGGCCAAGGAGAACAATTTTTCTCTTTCCTCGTAACAACCTTTAAGATACTTGAAAGCTGTTATCATATCCCCTCTGTGTCCTCTCTTTTCCAGACTAAACAAACCCAATTCTTACCCTTTCAGGCCTGTATGCGGGGGAGGGGAGAATGATGAAGGGTGCGAATCCCCTCCCCCCAAGTCCTTCATGATCCGTCATAGGGCCCATTACAGCTGACCTAGAGAAAGCAGGGGCAGCTCATAGCTAAGGTCACCAAATAGTTTCACAAAAATATCGAACATGGTGGGGAAAAAAATTGGTTGAGCAAAAAAGACCTGCCAGACACAGTAGGGGAAAATAAGAACGACTTCTCATGTCTTGCTCACAACACTCCTGTTAATACATCACAGAATGATGTTTGCTTTTTTGCAGTTCATCTTTAGCTTGTGGTCCACTATGCCCCTAGATCCTTTATGCAGTACTCCCTTCCTAGGCAGTCATTTCCCATTTTGTATGTGTGCATCTGATAGTTTCTTCCTAAGTGGAGTACTTTGCATTTATCCTTATTGAATTTCATCCTATTTACCTCAGACCATTTCTCCAGTTTGACCAGATCATTTTGAATTATAATCGTGTCCGTCAACGCATTTGCAACCCCTGTATACCTGGTATACCCCTGTATCATCAGTATAAGCAGGATTATAATGGTTGTTCAGTAAATTAATTATGGCTCCTGGAGAGTGGAAGGATAGTTCTATTTACATGCTATCAAATCCGAAGTATTCAGTAACCCACTAAATCAATGGGAAAACTTTGATAATTCTCCTTGAATAATTGATGGAGAGAATAAACTTATACAAGAAAAATCTCCCTTTACAGAAGATGTTTTCCTTGTTTTGTTCTGTTTTTCAGTTTACAGCGATGGTGCTTTCCGACAAATCTCATTACAGTTTTTAACAAATCTCCTTCCTTTCAAGTTTGACAGCATTCTTAAAAAGCCAAAGTTGTGACAGTTTGGCTTGTCGACTCTCTGAGAGCTGAACGCAAGGAAGGAAGACTTGACGCCAGTTAGCCACAGGAGCTGAAAACTCAGAGAGTAAATACAATTATTGTGCTGAAGCAAGAAGACTTGAAATTCTGTCCACAAAGCAGGTTGTCACCCTCTTTTGTGACTGAGCGAGGAAACTGTTAGGCTATTGTTTTCTTCTGTGCCTCCCAACATGGACCAGCAGATAGGAAATTATTAATGGGTTTTTAGGTGACTGAAAGTAGAAGAAAAAGGCACAAATACTACCCCCCCCAAAAATTATTTTCCCTCTCTTTCTGTTGTAGGTTTATGTAAATGGAGAATGGGTGACCAGCATTGGGGAAGGAGGCAGCTTTGGGGAGCTTGCACTGATCTATGGAACACCAAGAGCTGCTACTGTCAAAGCCAAGACAGACCTGAAACTTTGGGGCATCGACAGGGACAGCTACAGACGCATTTTAATGGTGAGTTTTAAATGTAATGACTTATCCTTATGACTGGCATTATTAAACATTTTAATTCAGGTCCATAAATGTGCACAACATTGATATTTTACATTCAGATTATATCAGTGCTAAAACCTCTGAAGTTTAGGGTGTAAAACAGATAAAATAAAACTGTGGGTCTCATTTAGACTTAGAAAAATGGAAAAGGCAGCAAGACTGAGTAGAATGAGCATAAGACTGTGTTCCAGAAATGCCTGAGTACTTCCCCAATCATATATAAGAATATATCAGTAATTACAGGCAGTCCCCGTATTACGTACAAGATAGGGACTGTAGGTTTGTTCTTAAGTTGAATTTGTATGTAAGTCGGAACTGGCGTCCAGATTCAGCCTCTGCTGAAACTGACCAGCGGCTGATTCCAGGAAGCCCGGGGCAGAGCAGCTCTGCCTCGGGCTTCCTGTAGTGGGAGACGCGGAGCAAAGCCGCGGAGGACGTGGGCAGTGGGACAGCCCAGACGCGCAAAGGCTGTCCCACTGCCAGCGTCCTCCGAGGCCTTGCTCCCTGTCTCCCTGGTCTGCTGGGAGGAGCCCCCCCCGGCAGACCAGGGAGACGTGGAGCAGCTTTTCTCGTCCCGGAGGACGTGGACGGCGGGACCACAGCGCATCTGGGCGTCCCGCCACTCGCGTCCTCCGGGGCGAGAAAAGCCCCGTTCGTAACTGCAGATCCGACATAAGTCGGATCCGCGTAACTCGGGGACTGCCTGTATTTAAAACTGTGAAACCCTCAGGAAGCCCACATTACTCCCTTAAGCAACCACAGATTGTCATCTTGTTGCCAACCCCCTTCTAAAGTCCCTCAACATCACCCTATGATTGTTGCTTCGCGTCCTCCGGGGCGAGAAAAGCCCCGTTCGTAACTGCAGATCCGACATAAGTCGGATCCGCGTAACTCGGGGACTGCCTGTATTTAAAACTGTGAAACCCTCAGGAAGCCCACATTACTCCCTTAAGCAACCACAGATTGTCATCTTGTTGCCAACCCCCTTCTAAAGTCCCTCAACATCACCCTATGATTGTTGCTTTGTGTTGTCTTCATTCTAGCTTATGCTGTATGCTCTTCTTGGCAGCAGCTCTGAATGAGATCCTGTCTGCATTACAGTCAGTGGGGAAATCCTCATTGTCTTCAGTGAGTCCAGGATATAACACCCCTCCTCATCCTTGTTTGTCTAAAAAATGCCATGTATGTCCAGAGCACAATAAAAATAAATAACATTGCACAGCCTGTAGTAGCAGCTGCAGAAAGCTGCCAATATGCTGTGACTTCAGGAAAGGATTCCTTTCCCCCCATGCGCCCTCCCTCCCCCAGTTTTTGCAGAGAAGCCTGTCATAGAAGCTGGCCACCTGCAGTGTATTTTAGGCTGTGGGCTTGTCGTTAGGCCTTGAGTAGTGGATTTATAATGGAAATTTTGACAAATGTTTTATTAAAGAAATATCTTAGTTTCATCACAATTATTGTTTTTCTGATGTGAATGTACATACTCTTTTCTCTTCCACAAAATATTCCCTTCCTACAGGTGGTTTACACTCAAATACTGTTATTTAAAATATATTTCTTGATTGGAACATTTCTTCATTGGTTACATTATCTCATTGTGGCCTGGGGCAAATGTTAGCATGCTTTCTTGGCAAGAAAAGATTGTGGATTAAAATATATACATCACCAATGGAAGGACTGGGTTGTATAAGAGTTTAGTAAAGGGATATAATGCCTTTCAGTGACAGGGTCACCTATTCACATTCACCCAAGCTCTGCAGTGACCTAATATTTATGCCATTTGATGACTGGTGGGTGCCTGAGTGAAGTGAAACAGTGGTATATGTCTAGTTCTGCGTGGACTGGTGTCCACATCAGAACCAGTACTCTCAAGCTACATCTATACTTACCAGTGGATCAACACTCCAGAGGTCAATCTTCTGGCATTTGATTTAGTCAGGGGGTCTAGTAAGGACCTGAAAAATCAAATGATGAGGGCTCCCCCCCATTAGCACCAGTACTTCTACGCCTCACAAGGAGTAAAGGAAGTCATGGGAGCATTTCTCCCATAGTCCTCCTGCTGTGGAGATGGCACCAAAGTCCAAATCAAGGTACGTCGACTCCAGCTATGCAATTAAAGTAGCTGGAGTTGCATATCTTAATTCAAACTTCTCCACTAATGTAGACCTGGCTTCAGTAGAGGAGTTAAAGACTCATTGGGAAAGTAGATAAAATTATTCTTCCATCTCTAGAGGTCGTGGACAGCCCCTCCACAACAGTAATGAGGTGCTTTGACAAGCTGCTAGTAATACCATTGAAGATGCTGCATCAATTCTGTAGGTGAACAAGATGAGTACTATTTGAAAGCTTCTTAATACAGGAACAGCATTAGTTGACCTTAAATAAGACATTTCTTTAAAGTCTTTTTTTTCAATTCATCGGGAAGGAGAACATAACTTGACCACTAGAAGTTGACTATCTAGAATACTGCTTGAGATGAATCTTCTTGGTGCAAATACTATTAAAAAAGTACAAAGGAGAAATTGATCAAGAGAGAAATAAACAACATAACTGATGTGGTCTCTGGCTTTTAAAGAAAGACCTTTTGGTTCTTTCTTTAATCTATCTAATGCTGTTCCACCAGACTAGAGGGGAAAGTTTCATAAACATCACCCCTGTTGAGAATCCTTTGGTCTTAAACTTGATGAAAATGGCAATAACTATTCACATTCAAGCTTGTGAACCGTTCAGGTTTAGTCACTCAGTTAGGGGTCAGATGCCCTTCTCCATTTAATTACTGTCTTGAAAAGTTGGATGGGCATTTCTTATGCCAGAAATAATTTTACTAAAAAGACGTATAACCAGCAGCAGAGGAGACTCTCCTTTTAATGCTGATGCAAGAATGCTAAACATAGATACATAGACATTGTTGAGCTTTAAAATTCAATTAGAATCCTTGCTGCTTTCAGTGTCTAGGTTCATATCACAATGATTTTTGCGTATGAGCACTTTGTTGTTTTTACATTTCAGGGTTTTTTAAAAAAACATATAGTTGGTGGTTATAATTGGTTATAATTGTAACCATTAAAAATGGCATACCTACTGCACTATGTCAGAGAGTTCCTCAATATTTTAGATGCCCCACATATTGCCTGATCTTCTATTACTTCTGCTCATTGCCCTTTTTGTGTCCACGTAAGCATCTCAATGATATGTCTAGATTTTCTCTATCCCTAAATGTAACTTTTGTTTTCTTGTAGTGGACTAAGCCTGATACAAACACATCCATCTAGCTTTTGGTTTCATTTGCCATTCGTTTATTGTTTCAGCCTGTCTTGAAAGAACCATTTTATAACAGATGCATTTCTTCATATTTCATTGTTTCTTTCTAGGTAACCTAGAGCTTGAGGGTCATATTTAAACTCACTCAGCCATCTGTGATGATAGCAAGCCTCAGATCAGTTCCTGCAGTTGAGATGTGTAAAGAAACTGCTTGGCATTCATTGCAGTCTTTCACAAATCATTATAACATGACATTCTATGGGGGTAAAATGAAGTTCCTCTGAGCCACTCAACCTCCACCCAAACATTCTTTCTGAGCACTCCACCAAGTTCTCTAACCATGTTTCCTCTGTCCAGAAAAGTTATCTGTGTTGTATGTTGGTTGCCTCACCTATGTAACATGCTTATGGGTGTCTTTGTTTACATGTTTATTGCTTCCTCAGTGTGTGTAGTAAGGAATCTATAGCTTGGATTCTCATGCATCTTAAGTTGATACAATATTGCTGATGCCTTCCTTGGTTCTTGGACTGAGAACCAATTGGGGATAGAGAGCCCCCCTCCCCCAAGAATGCACAAAGGAGACAAATGTTCATTTTCTAATGATGCCCCTGTAATAAATCAAATCCATTCCCCAACTAAGTCAGCCCTCAGGTTGAGGATATTACACACATTAATCTATTTAATCTCTCCTTTCAGAGAATAATGTACTCACCCTCCAAATCATTTGGCTATTATTGCATTGTTACAAGCTAGACACACACATTTTGGCCTAGTGCACGACTGTATCACTGAAGTGGTCCACCTGAGTCACCTTGCCACCTTGTAACCTTCTCAGCGCTGATCTGAATGGCTACAAACCTCAATAATCCATTTGTCCTTTAGCTGCTGTGTTCTGTCTGTGTCATGACAAGATGGCCAATCTTATATACAACAAGTTACATAGGATTATCATATAATCCTACTGATAAATGTATCAGACTCCATTTTAAAACTGGTTAGGTTGTTTGCTCCCAGTACTCCTGTTGTCACGGTGTTCCAGGACCTCACCTCTCAGATGGCTAGGAGCCTTTTTCTAATGTCCAGACTCAGTTTATTCCCAACTAGGGTATGGCTACACAGCAGGGCTAAAGTTGAATTAAGCTACGCAACTTTTGCTCCATCAATTGCGTAGCTTAAGTCGAAATAGTTTAATTTAACTTTTGATGCTGTCTACACAGCAGAAAGTCGAAGGAAGAACACTCTTCCTTTGACTTCCCTTACTCCTCATGAAATGAGGATTACCATGAGTCAGAGTAAGAAATCTTCCAGCTCAACATTATTTTGAAATACAGGCTTGTAGTGTAGACACACACTATGTTATTTCGGAATATCGCCAGTTATTCCGAAATAACGCTGCTGTGTAGACACAGCCGTAGTTATTTATAGCCATGGGCAACACTCTTGGGACACAACTAATGATCAGTCTAGGTTGGTCTATCCCTACTGTCATGTCTGACTTCATTTTTGTTGTTTTGACCTTTTTTTTCTAACAATCCTTGATACAGCTTTGGTTCTGAGAGCGCTCAAAAAAATTAAGTCAAATCAAATGCACATTTTTTACAATATACATTGCATGGTAGCCAAATCATAAACCATGTCCAAAGTCTGAATCCATTTAACATCTGTGCAATATAGCAGTAGACTCTTATGGCGTATTTTGTTTT